GATATTGATAATGATAATAATGATAACAATGATGAAAATGATGATGGTAACAATGATATTAATGATAATGACAATGATAATAATGATGATATTAATGAGGATGTTAATGATTATGATAATAATGATAACGACAATGATGATAAAAATAATGTTGATAATGATAATAATAACATTAATGATAATGATAACTATGATGATATTAATGATAATTATATTGATGATATTAATGATACTTATATTGATGATATTAATGATAATTATATTGATGATATTAATGATAATGATATTCATAATACTAATACTAATGATAATGATATTTAAACCTCTGCTAATGGTAAGGTTCAGGTAAACTTTTAATACTGATATCATGGTCCGAAAGAAAGAGTGTTTCTGTTCCTAAGTTTATGCAATGGTCACAACACAACAAATATACCACAGTGCCCTAGCCAAGGCCGCGCAGCACAAACACCCACTAAGGTATTTCAGCGAATACCTTCTTACAGGACCATTGTGTGTATAGCTCTATCTGTTACTCTCTCTCCTCTCTCCTCTCTGACACAGCGCCTCCCCGATTGAAGGTAAGTACCAGCTTTTAAACATTATTGGGAGCGTCGGCTTCGTGTCCTAATTACCACAGATAATTGAACAGTTGCAGATAATTGAACAGTTGCAGATAATTGAACAGTTGCAGATAATTGAACAGTTGCAGATAATTGAACAGTTGTAGGACTGAGTTGCGTTGACCCATTGAAGCAGCTCGTGAAAGAGGGCCTGTCAACTATCTGCTACTAAGTGGCCTCCAGTGAGGTCGAAATGTCTTCACGAGACACTTCTACAATAATAACAATAAAAAATACCGAAAATGATCATGATAATAACAATGATAATAATGATGACAGTGATAATAACGATTATAATAATAACAATAATCATAATGATGATGGTGTGAGGTGCTCTTTCGCTCTGTGGCTATTGATATATATTTTAATGTGGGTTCACAGTGTCTAGATGTTGTGTTGTGGTAGCGTGAAACATCTAGGCACAAACAAGCAAACAAAATGAAAAAAAAGAGACCGAGCATAATCATCAACTCCTTGACGTTCAGCCTATGGGTATGATATATATTCGTTCTATAAAGACTAGAAATTATTTAGTGTTTACTTATGAGAAAAGGCAAAGTAACATGCTTAAGCGCATCTCGTAAAAATAAAAAAATAAATTATGTAATTATGATTTATTGATTAAGAGATATGAGAAACAAATAAGACAAACAAAGGATCACGTCCAGCTCCTCAGAAAAAAAAAAAACGTCAGCACACAGACTTAACTACTCTCAGTTTCGGGGGGCGTGGCCGCTTCACAGCTTTCCCGCTCACACAGGGGTAATGACACACAGGGTATCTGGTCTAAACTGAGTATATTTCGCGCCGTTTTGGCGTTATTTATAGTGTTCGTGACGTCATGAACTACGTCATGAACTATACATCTTTCACATTTATAAAATGGTGTTGCCACTTTGATAAACAATTCAGAGAAGTCACATTTGAAAAAAACATCCCATAAAAAGATGACAATTAACACTACACATTTTGCAACCAGTTATATATAAAAAAAACGAAATATCAAATACCTTATTTCGTTTCTAAAAATAGATATTAATATACTTACTGGCTATTTATATTCTACCAATCACGCTCTTTAACCGTGCGTTCACTTGGGCAGTGCGCATCGTGCGTTTCGAGGCGAAATCAAGTGAACGTTTGGCGAGGCGTCGCGTGGCGGAGCGAGTGGGGTTTGGAGGAGATAGTTCGCTTCGCCTCGCCTACTCGGAACCTCTGATGGGCCTCTGCCCGACTTGAAACGCCTATTTCTTGGATTTGGAAGAAGCTCAACAACACGGAATGACTTGTGGTAAGTGTCTGACCACCAAAGAATTTAATAAATGTAAATTTACATCATGTAAACCTAAAATATGGCTGTAGTTGAGATAGAACTTCCGAGAGCGTCACTGTAGTTAGTGATAAAAGTTGATGATAATGCTAATGTTATCTTTTAATAACTGCGTAAGATTATAATTTCGAACAGTTATGATTTTGGTGGATGCAGGATAGATGTATCATATTTTGACTGTGCATACCAAAAGTGATTAGCATTTAATGAAGAAATTAAGTTGGAAAAAATCATAATAATGTAAATGTTGGCAGGTTCAGTTCTTATCTAATCAGTAACTGTAATAGAGATCAGTGTACATCAACTCTATGGCTTTCAGGAATGGGACAACAAAGAAATGAGGGAAATGCAGAGTCGCTTGGTGCAGCTCCAAGATCATCAACGAGAGCGTAAAGAAGATAAGGAAAAATGAATGCGCAGTTTGAACAGACTCAGTAGCAATTAATTCCGATGTTACAAGTACACCACAGAGAAACAATTCAGCAACAATTGTTACACAGTCAAGAACAGCAGCATAAAGTCTATGCACCAAACAACCAACAGATACTAG